ATCATGACAAACCCCTTCTTAATAACATTTAATAGTTCTTTATAAGAATTATCACTCATTAATATACATGTATGTTTTCAATTATGCATTTAAATATAAACTACCAAAATCCAAATTCTTAAAATAAATTCAAACTAAACTAACTTAATAATACATAGAGATTGGAAGGCATCCATTTTTTTGTTTCACATTAACACGTAGGCATTGTTGAACTTTTAAGTAGGCAGCATATCTTAAGTTAATATCACCAGCAAAATAAAATAGACCTCAATTTTCTACATTTCCATAAACAACATATTATTTCTGGGTATTACACTATCTGCAGAACACTGTGTGCATTTGAAACATTTATATTGTAACACCCAGTCTGCAAGCCAGGGAGAAATGTTTGGTGTGTTGATTCCAGTATTCTCTCTTTTTTTTATTATTATTTTTATTAAATTCTGAACAGGGATTGGAACAATTTTGCAATATCTGGTATCTGATGTGCACATCAGATTGGTCATATTCACACTAATTTCCAATCTTTGAGGGAGCAAAACCCTTGTCCCACTCCAATATCCAACATAAAACACGGTAGTAACCACAAACGTTATGCAATACAATATCTGGCTCCTCAGCTCTATAAAGCCATTTTCTCTGTGGTCTTCACAAGGAAACCTCTGAAGCTTATTTTCCCCTCTAAGGTAGCTATGTACTGCACCTGCCTGAACATGAACACTTCTACTATTTTTTGCAAGAGAAACACAGTCCAGCCAAGCCCCGAATATTTGTATCGTCATGGCTAAACACTATTGAGAGGTGAGTTCTATTGGTGTTAAAGTGTTGTTTTCAAATTAACAGATCGAGCCCTTTATCAGAATAAACTGTATTTGGTTCTAACATGAATACTGCAAACCATCAGACTCTTTTATAGCCTACCCTATCTCCCAAACTAAGTTTCATTGTCTTGTAGACTGGGTGTTAAAAACATCACAGCTTACCTCTTCCACAAAGTAGATCAATGGTTATACACACTTGCAAAGAAAGTATTTGGCTATTTTCAAGAAATTTGAAATGAACAAAAATATTCACTGGTCAACATGAGATGCCTGTTAGCACTTCCTTTCTCGGCAATGGCATCAAGTGATACAACACTTACTGGAAGTATGCAGATTCTTACATGTTTCAACTTACATTAAACAATTGGATAATGTTGTTAGAGCTCCAATACATTGAAATCTGTAAAAATAATGGGAACCAACATAAATTATCCACTAGAACGTATTAGCATAGTAATGGTAGAATAAAACACACAACTATATTGTAATATAAAGTGTTAATATAACTTTTACTGCAACCATTACATTGTTGACTTTTTTTACATGAAATAATTTCAAGTTAGTTCTGATCAAAGCTACATTTACAGGTTAATTACCAAGTTGCTCAAGCAGATGACAGAGATGAAAATATTGCCAATCAATAAACATGTGGTTACGTTCTCTGGAAATGTTTGTAAGAATTCTGTGGTGAGGCCAATTTTTCTTAGGTCTATGAAGGCTATATGTCAGTTGCAGCTATTAAACAGAAATGATTAAAAAGTATGTTTTATGATTTTATTCTATATGATACAGAAGAAAATTTATATGTCATGTTTTGGTTCTATTACAGTAAATAGAATGTTCGATATTCATAAGTTTAATGTTATATTAATTTTGTTTTGTTCGTCAAAAACCAACTTGTACATTTACATTCGGAATTTATCACATGGTTAAAAGGCTGTCAAGACTTAAGTGGATTGACAATGTCTGTCTGTCACAACTTCCACTAGAACATAAATTCTCAAAATTGATATTTTATTTAACACTAAAGAATACAGTTGCTCAAATTAAAAATTACAGCATCATACAGTGCAAAAATTGTAATTTTTAAACATTAAAGTTAAGCATTTCTAGACTAAAAACATAACACAATATAAAAAAAAACCCAGCAAAATTACACTTTATTTAACGCTAAAGCAACCCAAGTGTTTGAGGTGGATACTGCTGGTCGTTTGCCTTCTCTTTGGTCAGTTGTTCAAAGTTGGGGCAGATAGTTTTAGTGTTTTCCCAAAACTCTGAAAAAATATATAATTCTCTCACAGGTGAAGTGGTGAGCATGTCTGGTCACACAGTAAATTGAACACAATCATGAGGCAACCCCCCCCCCACACACACACTAATTTTAATTAGTTTATTGTTTTCATGGCATTAATCGTATTTTCAATTACTGATGAGTGCAATCAATAATATTGATTAATCAAGTTAATTACCCAGCTGTACCTGATTCAAAGTAACTTGCTGTAAACAAACATGAGATCTGAACTGAGTCCAGACATTCAAAGCTGTCTTAACCCTATATATATGGGTTTGGTCAAATTGACTGACCTTGTAACCACCATGTGGCCATGGAATTATACATATGATTACTCTGCTTGTACTAAGTTTATTTTCACAAGCTTTTATTAAACATTATAAGTATGTTATGTACAAAACATCTTATTTTTACTAGAGATTTGTCTGTGACTTTATGAAGCCTTTACCGAGTCACTCTGAGTGAAAGTTGATTTTCACGATAAGGATAAAATTACTTCTTTCCATCTAACTGTTTAATATCTCACTTGCATAACCTTTAGAACTTCCGAAATGAACATCAACATTTCGTTTTGGGGGGGGGGGGGTAAAACTTTATACTTTATCTTATATTTTCTCTACCCTATCACTAATTGTAGCAAAATCATTAATGTAAAATGAGTGAAAACCATGAAATGAAATCAAAAATACCCCCCTTTTTTTTTCTTTCTGCAATGCCTGCAGATTGTAACCTTTTCACAGCTGCTTTCATTCAATTTTATTGTTCTTTGAAATTGGTCTAACTAGCATAACAAAACAATAAATCACCTGGTAAGAGCATAGGGTAAATAAACTATCAAATTACATTACCAGATGGAGACCTGTGTGCATTCCTTCAAAAGAAAGCACAATACTTTTTTTCTTTAATGTTGTTTTTCATTTAGGTTTTTCTTATCGAACCTAATAAGTTTGGTGTTTTCGGTTACTTTTGTTATAGAAATATAACAACTATAAAAATAAGTAAAAAAAAAGTCCAAGAAATTTGCCTTCTACCTTGGTCTTTGTGGTTTAGTGAGTCCATTTCTTTTTTCTCACTATGTATTGGTTATGCGGTAAATAATTCATGTAGCTTTAAAAATATACATTCTACAATGAAAAAAATATAATTGGTACTAGAGTAGAATGTTCCAAAACTACTACAGTTTATCTGGCTTTCTAAGTAACCTGTGAATATGTTTTAAAAAATTCCATTACTGTTTGGAATAATATCTTCTGTCGTAACACATCAAGCTATTGGTTTTGACCGCTAAAAAAAAACAGACAATCATCGGATTTATATATGTCAGAATTTGCCATTTCTGTTGGTTATAAACATGTCTACTAGCAATGCCTGAGTGAAGTATAGATATTTCTGGAAAGACAGAGGATAGATATGGGGTTGAACAGATATAGTGATATCTCAATATAGCGAGAAGAGGTTGAAAGGTTATATTCTGGCTTGTTAATATCTATAATGTGTGTTTCTAATTGGTTGAACAATCTAAAGCCTTTGCAAAGGAAGAGAAAAAATTATAAGAAGTCTGAGCATTGATGCATTATGTGACTTGGAGATGCAGTTTGAGAATTTATTTAAATATTTTCTTATCAATTTAAGAAATGATAACTTAGATGATATATAAATTTGAATTATAAACTACATTTTGATGCCAACTTATTAACATACATTAATAATAAAGTACTTGTATAAAACTTCGAATGTAACTCTGTAAAACAATCTTGACCTACACAGTTTGACTCTCCCGTATCCACAGGTTTAGCAAAGTTAGATATATTTCTTACCTCATTCTCTTCAGTTGAACTTTATGTAACCTTCTACAATACTTGAATGTGATGTTCCTGCACAGAGGTTCTATAATTGTACAAAGAAATATGTGATATAAAGAATAATTTATTTAGTATTGTTCTTATTGGTTTATTTAGAATTCACTCAGCAAGTATCAACCAATTGCAATAGAATCCTCAGGCCGGAGTGGAGCACGATTCTTTCGGTCATCTGACAAAATGTTCATTGTCAAGACACTACTGAGTGAAGAAGTGGAGCAGATGCATGTGTTTCTTAAACAGTACCACCCAGTGAGTGTTAAGTACATAATTCAACATTTAATGTGTCGTATATGAAATGATCAAAAATGTTATCAGATGTTTTTAGTGTATCATCTCGGTGACTATCATAGAGACCTCTAGTTCTTAATATAAAGTATAAAATCAAATACGGGTTTGATTCATCTAAAAATAAGAGAATTGGACTGTGCTGCTTCCATTGTAGCTCTCTGTGTTAAAGCCCTATAGGTGTTCCATGTGTTTGTACTAATATAGTCTTCTCCACAAGCATTATCTTGCAAAAGGTGATTATTTGTTTTATATTCCAAACATTGCATAGCTTCAACCGTTTCATGGATTTAAGATAATTTACCAAAACAAATGGAAGTATTTTGAAATAAGTTCTTAAACTTATTTTTCTTAAAACATAGAACAGTAACTAAAGAAGTAAAGCAAACAGTTATCTCTTCTAGTTACCACGTTTTTACTCGGTTTTTGCTTGTCTTTAAAAAATTTGCACATGGAGGATATGAAAAAAAAAGTTTTATTTTTTAGGTTTTTTTATATATATATATATATATATATATATATACTATTAGTAATAAACTAAAAATAC